AGGGGTGGGGTGGGGTGGGGTGGGATGGGATGGGATGATGCCCCAGATGCTCCAGGGAGAGGAACTGCTGTCTGTCCCTGAGTTATGTTTCCCCTTTTCCAGTCAGTGGGAACTTCACCGACCCCAACTTTACAAATACAATGGAAAGCCTGGTGTAGTGGGAGGTCTTCCTGCACAAGGCAGGGGGTTGGAACTCGATGATCTTTAGGGTCCCTTCAAACACAAACCATTCTATGATCCCATGATTCCCTAAGGACCCGCAGATGGATTCCCTCAGGTCCCATGGACTCGTGCACCTTCAGGTTCCTCGATGGTCTCATACTTGATCTTTGCCTACAACTTTAGGGTCCCTTCAAACACAAACCATTCTATGATCCCATGATTCCCTAAGGACCCGCAGATGGATTCCCTCAGGTCCCATGGACTCGTGCACCTTCAGGTTCCTCAGATGGTCTCATACTTGATCTTTGCCTACAGGGCACCTGGTCCTGCTAAGTCAGAGTTAAGGGAGGGGCTGAGAGACACTTTAATTACAGATGTGGCCGTCCTGCATGATTTATCCTGGGTAACTCGAGCAATTTATCCATCAGCAGCTCTAAGGGATCTGAAGCAGAAAGGAAGAGCAGGGAGTATTTATTGCGGTGACTCAGAAGTCGTTAAAGGGAGATTTGAAACGAAAGGGTGATGTTGCTCAGAAAACCCCCTACCTGGCCTTATGAAGTTGTCTCCAGCCAGGAAAATGAATGAGCAATGTCATTTTCAAACTCCACTTCCCCTCTTTTCCCCCACCAGCCAAGTGGGGTTTGTTCCTCTTTGGGATGCGCCGCTGGAGCGTCGTGCGGGGCCGAGGGAGCTGGGGTGACGTTCCCAGCTCATTTCACACTTGAGGTGGCATTTCAATGTCATTTTACCGTCGTTGCCCAGGGTGGGTGAGAGAAACCCCCCTCCTTGGCCACGCTTTGGCCAGCGGGTCCTGAGCTAGGGAGTATTTATTGCGGTGACTCAGAAGTCGTTAAAGGGAGATTTGAAACGAAAGGGTGATGTTGCTCAGAAAACCCCCTACCTGGCCTTATGAAGTTGTCTCCAGCCAGGAAAATGAATGAGCAATGTCATTTTCAAACTCCACTTCCCCTCTTTTCCCCCACCAGCCAAGTGGGGTTTGTTCCTCTTTGGGATGCGCCGCTGGAGCGTCGTGCGGGGCCGAGGGAGCTGGGGTGACGTTCCCAGCTCATTTCACACTTGAGGTGGCATTTCAATGTCATTTTACCGTCGTTGCCCAGGGTGGGTGAGAGAAACCCCCCTCCTTGGCCACGCTTTGGCCAGCGGGTCCTGAGCTGCTGCGCTGCCGGCTCGGTGAGAGCATCATTTTCTCGGGGAGCGGCACCGAGAGGTTGGTGTTGCTCAGAAAAACCCCTACCTGGCCTTATGAAGCTGTCTCCAGCCAGGAAAATGAATGAGCAATGTCATTTTCAAACTCTACTTCCCCTCTTTTCCCCCACCAGCCAAGCAGGGTGTGTTTCTCTTTGGGATGCGCCGCTGGAGCGTCGTGCGGGGCCGAGGGAGCTGGGGTGACGTTCCCAGCTCATTTCACACTTGAGGTGGCATTTCAATGTCATTTTACCGTCGTTGCCCAGGGTGGGTGAGAGAAACCCCCCTCCTTGGCCACGCTTTGGCCAGCGGGTCCTGAGCTGCTGCGCTGCCGGCTCGGTGAGAGCATCATTTTCTCGGGGAGCGGCACCGAGAGGTTGGTGTTGCTTAATGAGCCTTAGAGAAGTGTTGTGCTGTCTCAGGTAAGGAGAGGTGGCTGTAACGCTTGCCCGAGAAGGATTCCATTCCCCTGTTCATACAGTAGTTAAGAGTCGGGTGAAAATGGACCCTGGCAAATAAAGGGATGCCTTTGGATGAGGCGTGGAGAGAAAATGTGCTGAGAGTGCGGTTCTTTTCCGTGCCCGACAGAGAAATGATTTCTCTCTTCTCAAGCGGTGAAGTTGTATATAAAAATGTAAAGTTGAGGAGACATCCCAAGGGGTCGATAGGATTTGTGTTCTCCCGCATGGATCCAAGACTTCTGCCGTGGGACAGGTCCTGCTCAAGCGCAGGTTCTCCAAGGAGCATGGATGGGGCGCACTCAACCATTGGCCTTCCCTTTCTGGCAGGGGCTCAGTGAAGCCCCTGAGCTCCTGTTAGAGCAGGGAAGGACAGAGCCCTACGGCAAAGAGGAGGTGTCTCCCGGTGTCCTTCCTTCCTGGAGGAACCCTGTAGTGAGAGGACCCTGCAGATGGGGAGGGCTATTCCTTCAGAGCTCTTAAACACAGATTACAGTGATGGATGTAGGAGTTGCGGCAGCACAAGAGCCAGGAGATGGTGGATGGGATGGGATGGGATTTTTTTTCTGTCTATTGATCTCTTTTGCACCCAAACAAGAATAAAAGCTGTTCCTCACCTTAAAAGTTCAGACTTTTAAGGCCAGTGATTCTCCTGTCCCCGATTCATCCCACACGTCTGACTTAATTTCACACCATCATGCTCCTGATGGTTGGACCTGCCAGCCTTGGGCTGGGGCTGTTGCAAGGTGTGAGAAACACACCTTGGAGCAGAGCAGCTTTGGGCTGTGTTGGGGTGAGACACGGGGCTGTGGCTGTTGGTGGTTCTTTGGGTTTGTAGATGAGCTGCAGGTCTCCCTTTGGAGCAGGAGCTGAGTTCCGTGGGGTGTAGAAACCCATCCACGTGGAGGCGGTTCCTCATGGAGATCTTTTGCAGGAGGCTGGGCGAATGAAGCCCTGGACCTTGAGTGTGGTGTCCTGCTGTGGGGCTGGGCAATGGGTCCGTGGGCAGAATAAGCATCACCTCGTATTCTCCAGGATGCCTTTGGCTCCACGAGTAACTCCAGCCTGTGGGGTAAAGTCCCTGCCCCAGCCCAGGGATGACCTGGGCTTGGAGATGACTGAGGGCTTGGTGAATTATTCAAGAGAGCTTGAGCTGCCAGAGAGGTTTTTCTTGTTGTATCATTTATTCATCACTCATAAAAAGATAAGGGGCAAGGCTGGGACAGAGAGATCACGCCAGAGGAGGATGGTGTGCGTGTGTGTGACATTATTGATGGTTTGGGGAGAGAAGAGGGAATGCCTGATGCACGACCAGAAGGGAAGACAATCCCGATTTTGGTTCACTCCCTCGGTCTTGGTAGGATCCTTGTCATTCAATCCATGGCTGGGGTCTCCTCGAAGAGCAAATAGGACAAGTCACCCCACCCCAGTCCCACCCTGCAGGTCCTAGCAGACCAGGGGGTGTGTCAGCCAGGAGACCTCACTTCCCTGGGCACCCACGTGAAGCACCAGTAGAAACACTCGAGGAACACAAGCCCCCAGGATGAAAACCCCCTCCCAGGTCCTTCAGCCTCACTGTTGAAGAGCGGGTGCGTGCAGGGCATCACCCCGTGTCCAGGGGAGCCCCCTCACCAGGCTCTGTCACCACGGCAAGCGGCTTGGAGTGACCCCCAAGCTCTTCATGCAGCTCAGTGATGTAGAGCCATTCGTCATCATACTGTACACACCAGCAGCTGTGCCAGTGAGCATAATTAACAGACGAGGGCCAATTAATCTCTGGATGATGCCTGCCATTCACTTCTCAGCTGCTATTATGGGAAGATGGGCTTTTGTACCTCTGCTTTCTATGCAAATCAGCTGGTTCTGATGCCTTCATCACTGAATACCCAATTACCCAGCGCAGATCCCCATGAAATCCAGCAGGGACACGTTGCCAACAGCCATGGGCCGGAGCCCAGGTGGGGTTTGCAGTTGAGGTGCTCTCCATCTCTGAAGGTGCCACCTGGAGCGCTGCTGCAGGACCTGGGTTTTGGGGCATTGCTGATGATGTGGGGGAGATGAGGGGAGAAATGTTTGTGGGAGCCTGGCTGAGCCCTTGCCATGTTGGTGGCCAAAACTGGCTCTGTGTCCCAGAGGAAGAAGGACACAGGGAGAGGTATGAGGGATAAAAGCAGGGGTCCTGTGGCCAGTTGGCCACCAAGGCATCAATGGCTGATGTTAGCCCAAAGAGGCAAGCCAGAGGGACATGGGAGACACTGCTCCAGGGAATCTCCAGGTGCAGCTCCAGGGAAATCATCCAGCAGAGCCTGAGAAGGAGGGCTGGTCCCAGCTGGGTCCTGTTGTCCCAAGCTGCTCTGGTTGGGTGGTGGCCCTGCCTGCAGCCCCCAGGTGTTCCCCATCTGGGCTGGGCTGCTGGTGGGGCTGCTATAAAAGGCTGGTGAGGAGCCCTTTCTCCATGAGCTGCTTTTGCTGTGGTCAGGATGGGTTCTGGAGGCAGCCTGGGGTTGTTTGTGTTGTGCTGGGTGCTGGCTGAGGCTGTGTCCTCCAGCCCCTGGCGTGTCCCTCCAAGGGGCTCAAGGGTCTTGGAGGTGCGGGGGGACTCCTCCTGGAGCCATCCGAGGGTGCCTTCCTTCTCCCAGCCCTCTCCCTGGGCATGGGTGGATGTCTCCCAGCTCCAGGCTGCGGCCCCACTGCACCCTGTGTCCGTTGAGTGCCAGGAGGCGCAGGTGGTGGTGAGGGTGCACAGGGACCTCTTTGGCACAGGACACCTGGTCAAGGCTGGGGACCTGAGGCTGGGCTCAGCTGGCTGCTTGCCGGTGGGGCAGGGTGCTGCTGAGAGCAGGGTGACCTTTGTGGCTGGGCTGCACGAGTGTGGCAGCAGCCTGCAGGTGAGGTGGGATGCTGGGCTGAGGGGCTGCTCCATCTGGGGTGCTGGTGTGCAGGGAATGGCCCTTCCTCTGGGCTTTGAGCAGTGCTGGGTGGGTCAATGGGAATGGCTGGAGAGCAATGTGCTGTCATGCTGCCCAATTCTTCTTGGTGAAGGTCTTGGTCCCAGAAGTAACCTTGTGAAGGTGATGTCAGGCTTTGGTGTGGTGAAGGGCTCACCTGGTTGCAGCAAGTCTCGAGTGAGGGGTGGTGTGGCCATAGGAGAGCTGGTCTTTGGAGTGTGGGTGCTACCCTCAAGCCCTGGGTGAGGTGCACACAGAAGAGCAATCAAGGCTTGTGGTGGTTTCAGGGCTGAGATGTAAGTGGATGCAGGAGAAGCTGGGAGAGGTGGGCAGAGGTTGAGAGTGCAGTGAGTGTGTGTGTGGGAGCTGGGCAAGGGGCTTGCTGGGAGCTTGGTGACCTCCTGGTGAGGAGAGGAGAAGGGCTGCCTGGAGCTGGTGTGGCCCAGTTGAGCTGGGGGAGGAGGCTTGAGGACCTCCTGTCCTCCAGCCCCTGCCCACCTGCTGTGGGTACTTGCTGGAGTGGCCAGGTCCTTGAGCCTGACCTCCTCCAGGACTGGCACCTCGTTGGGATGCCATCAAAGCTTCATGGCACCCTGTGTGTGCTGGATTGGGAATGGGGAAGACAGCCTTTGGAGCTGATGGGCCTCTGTGTCCTAGCCCGGTCAGTGCTGGGTGGCTGATGGTGCTGAGGTTGTGGTTGACTTGGAGCTCTCCCAAACCTTCCTTCCAGCTGACCCCTGACTCCTTGATCTACAAAACCAGTTTGTCCTACAAGCCTACTCCTTCTGGCAACCTGGGGATTGTGAGGACCAACCCGGCTGTGGTTCCTATTGAGTGTCACTACCCCAGGTGAGGAGCTGGGGGCTGTGTCTGTGCTCCTGTGGAGGCGAGGTGAGGGTGGACTTGGTGTGTCAAGGCTTGTGTCTTCTCTTCCCTTTAGGAAGGGCAATGTGAGCAGCCACGGTGTGCGGCCCACGTGGGCTCCCTTCCGCTCCACCCTGTTGGCGGAGGAGAGGCTGACGTTCTCCCTGCGCCTCCTGACCGGTGGGTGCAGCCCCCACAGCCCCGTGTCCCTCAGGTCCCTGCTCCTGCTGGGTCTGGGCCATGGGTTGAGCAGCCAAGGAGACCTGTGAGCTGGGCTCCAATGCAGCCTTGCAGGAGGGAGACCTGGGGCTGCTGCTCAGAGAAGAGATGCCCTGAGGGCAGGAGGGACGTTGGGAGGGCCATGTGCTGTTGTCCCAAGTGACCTGTAGGCTTGGCTCTGCCTTCCAGATGACTGGAGCAGTGAGAGAGTCTCCAATGGCTTCCAGCTGGGGGAGAGGCTGCACCTGGAGGCTGCTGTGGCTTCTGGGGGCCATGTCCCCCTGAGGCTCTTTGTGGATGAGTGTGTGGCCACCCTGAGTCCCGACAGGACCTCCTCTCCCCGATATGCCTTGATTGAGCTTGGCGGGTAAGGGGTGTGCTGGGGTCCTGGGGGTGCTGCTGGAGGTGGCCGGCATGTCCCTGACTCTTGTGGCCCTGGGGCAGGTGCTTGGTGGATGGGAGATCAGAGGACAGCTCCTCAACCTTCATCTCTCCAAGGCTGAGGCAGGACACGCTGCGCTTCACAGTGGATGCCTTCAAGTTTGCAGGAGATGAGAGGAACTTGGTGAGATGTGGTGCCTGCCCCTGCTCCCCCAGCATGTCCAGAAGCCCTGCTGTTCTGCTTGGACAGACCTCATGACCCTTGGCTGTGGCTGTCCTGTCCCTTCCAGATCTATCTCACCTGCCAGCTGAAGGTCTCCCCAGAGGACCAAGCCCCAAGTCCCTGGAACAAGGCCTGTTCCTTCAACAAGGCCAGCAGCCTGTGAGTAGCTGGTGCAGGTGGGGAGGGGAGCATCCTGGAGAAGACAGGCTTAGAGGTGATTCTGTTTCAGCTGGGCTCCAGTGGAGGGCACAGGAGACATCTGCAGCTGCTGTGAGACAGGCAACTGTCCATCGCATGGAGGATACTCCCAGAGAATCCACCCTCCAGCCAGATGGTCCGGGAGGCGCTTGAAGAGAGACATCCCTTCCAAGCAAGGTAAGGCTCTGTGTGTCCAAACTGTCCCCTGGGGGCAGGCTGACCCTCCAGGCTGGGATGGCCAAGGTGCTGGAAGAGCTTCAGCAGATGCATCTCCTCTGAAGGAGAAGCCAAGCTCTTCTCTGGTGTCCTTGTTCAAGTACCAGAGCCTGGGTGTCCTTCTGTTTGGAACTACCAGAAAGCTGCTCTGGCAGGGTCTGCCTTCCTGTGAGCCCTGAAATGCAGATGAAGCAGGAGTTCCCTGCTTGGTGATCTCATTCCTGTGCATCTCTTGTCAGGTGGGTCCTCAATGGTGGCAGAGGCTGAAGTCTCCCTTGGACCACTAGTGATCCTTGATCCAGCTCAGGAATTGTGGACTTCCTCAGGAGGTCCTGCCCCAGCAGGGAAGACCCCACCTGGTATGTGTTCTGTCTTGTTTGGTTTGACTTGTGGTGCCTCCAAGTGTCAACTGCAGGTGACTCCAGGTTGATGTCATGAATCCCCCCTGGTTCCTTCAACAAGGCCAGCAGCCTGTGAGTAGCTGGTGCAGGTGGGGAGGGGACCCTCCTGGAGAAGACAGGCTTAGAGGTGATTCTGTTTCAGCTGGGCTCCAGTGGAGGGCACAGGAGACATCTGCAGCTGCTGTGAGACAGGCAACTGTCCATCGCATGGAGGATACTCCCAGAGAATCCACCCTCCAGCCAGATGGTCCGGGAGGCGCTTGAAGAGAGACATCCCTTCCAAGCAAGGTAAGGCTCTGTGTGTCCAAAGTGTCCCCTGGAGGCAGGCTGACCCTCCAGGCTGGGATGGCCAAGGTGCTGGAAGAGCTTCAGCAGATGCATCTCCTCTGAAGGAGAAGCCAAGCTCTTCTCTGGTGTCCTTGTTCAAGTACCAGAGCCTGGGTGTCCTTCTGTTTGGAACTACCAGAAAGCTGCTCTGGCAGGGTCTGCCTTCCTGTGAGCCCTGAAATGCAGATGAAGCAGGAGTTCCCCCCCTTGGTGATCTCATTCCTGTCCATCTCTTGTCAGGTGGGTCCTCCGTGGTGGCAGAGGCTGAAGTCTCTCTTGGACCACTAGTGATCCTTGATCCAGCTCAGGAATTGTGGACTTCCTCAGGAGGTCCTGCCCCAGCAGGGAAGACCCCACCTGGTATGTGTTCTGTCTTGTTTGGTTTGACTTGAGGTGCCTCCAAGTGTCAACTGCAGGTGACTCCAGGTTGATGTCATGAATCCCCCCTGGACAGAGACTTTCCAGTATGATCACCAGAAGATACTCTGAGGTTTTTCTTCCCAAAGCTGTCTGTGAGCTCTTCCACTGATGGATGGTGG